AATCAAAATCATATGAATCTAGTTACGTTTTTAATCACTAAATAATCATTACTCATCACATTATCATGTAAAAATTATATATTTCTAACTATTTTGCAATCTAGTCACTAAATTTTGTACTTTTTATAACTGAAAAACATTTCTCTCTTTACAAGTCATCCTTACAATATTCAAAAGATTTCAAATTATGGTTCTTAAAAACTATTTCATGATTTCTAAATTACACTTCATTTAAGATTTTTTTAATTAATAATTTTGAAGATAACTACTTACATAACAATTTTTTTTCCACAAACGAGATAATTTCGCTAAATATTATGTTAACCTTGTCTCTAGAGTTGTCGGAATTTTTATTTTTATTTTTTTGCAATTTTATCTTATAAATTTTACCCAATTTTCTTCTAAAATATAAATATATTATTTATTTAAACATTTAAAGTATTTTTACATTCAAATGCCTAATAATGATAAGTCGTCTAGTGTCTCAAAATTCTCGGGACCGGCTCTGATCGCTATGAAAAATACATTCAAAATCTATTTTCATCATGTTCCAAATGGGGGTTTTATCCTAATTTTTCAATTTGATGTGACCGGACACTTTAACACATCTGCCTCCCCGTTTCCAACCACCTCATGTGTCAAGTCCTGGGTTGCGCACGGAAACAGGAAATAGAAAGTGATAGTACACGTGCAAACAGGGTTTTTGAAAAAAGTTTATTAATATTTAATTTTTATTTTTCAGATAATTCGTACCCTCTTTCTCTCTCTAATTTATCTCTTCTCTTTCATCTACTAATAAAAAATCTACAAATATATTATTTTTTATATTGAAAATTAAATCAATCAAACACATTAAAAGGATAATTTTCATACAAATAAAATTTTAGATAAGTAAATTGTCTAAAATTTATATTCTTTCCGTACAAATTTCTTCCTCGTTATTAAACCCACCCGTAGTATTAATTCAAACTTTAATAGGTTGTTAATTTATTGAAATATAACAATCAAAGCATGAAATTGAGCCCCTGTTTATTTTCCATTATTTGTCCATTAAAATGAAAAATATGATCTTTATCTATCATATCAAGCTATAATATTTGACTTTCTATTTTTTGTCCGGAACTCGTTACGACTATAATTTTCATTCTCATTCTTACATTAATGTGGCTCAAAACGGGGTTCTATAAATTTGAAGTTGAAGCAAGTAATTAAGATAATTCTTTGTCGTAACCCAATCCTTTTCAAACCTTTTTTGTCAAAAGTTTCCAAAATGTTTTCACAGTTTCTTCAAAATATATAAATTAAAAAAAATGGGTACAAAAGAGTTGAAAAAATAAAAAAAAAATGAAAATAAAATTCTTGAGCTTGTTGGCTTGTGCTCAAGCTCGACCCTTGAGCACAAGCCGAGCTCGAGCTCAGCTCGCGCTTGAAGGAGCTTGAGTGACGAGCCAAGCTGGTGGGTAGAAACCCTTGTTTTAGCCACATTATTTTCATAAAAATGTATTTTGAATAGTATATTGATTAGAAATGTATGATTAAAAAATAAAGAAAGATTTTGAATTTATGTATAATATTATTTTATTAAAGAATGTATGATTAAAATGATGTCAAATTAATGCTTAAGAAAGTATTTTTTTTCAAATAATGTGGATCAAACAAACCTAAATGGGACTTATAACTCAACTCCACATTCATCTCAATCATCTATAAACATCGTGGTCAAGTTATAACTTTAATTCTTATGTTCAATAAATAAGTTCCGTATAACATTAAGAAATGGGATTCTTTATCAAATTTGCAACTCTTATAACTCAAATCCACAATCATCTCAATCATCTAAGAACATCTTGGTCAAGATTAGCTTTTATTCTCACGTTCAATGAATAAGTTCCATATAGAAACGGAAATGAGATTCTTTTATCTTAAGTCTTCCAATGTCACACGAACCATGATTTAGTAACACAAATGTGACTTTCAGGATTAACTTTATTGTTGTCATCAACTATCACATTGTACACAATATTGTTATCTCGGCCATTTAGGACATATTCCAAACTCAATTAGGACTATTTTTGTAATTTTTGTTTTACATAGTATTCTCCATCAACAATTATTTGGCCTACAGGGCAAAAGAGCCCTCTAAAAGTAAGGAAACATCATGTTAGCTTTGGAGAATTTAAGGATTTATTAAAGAATTTTTTATTTTATTTTTATTTACAACATTTTAAGTATTAAACAATTTCCCACAAAAATTCGTTGAAAAGGAAAATATTTTGTGCCCCAAAAAAAAATTGTCAAGAAAAGTTTGCAACTTTTGGAAAAAGGAGTGTTGTTTTAGACCATCTCCATAGCTACACCAAATTTTGCATTAAATCTTGTACCAAACCAAAATTCTTCTCCAACAATTACATCAAAATTTACACCAAATGAACAGTGCTTTATTATTTTATTCATTCTTTCGATTTTTGACAACGCATTTATTTTTAAAAATTATTTATTTATTTCATAACTATATAAATTACTAAATCATAACTTCGTTAAATTAACAAATATATTGATTACTAAGTTATCACGTCTTATATATTATGTTAAATTGACCAAAATAATTCATTATATTATTAATTTATGATAAATAATTACGTTAATTTACAAAAATAATAAACTTTAATAATATAAACTTTACATTAAATTAACTTTAAACGTAAACTTTACGAATTAAACTTTACGTTAAATTAACAATTAAGTTAATTATTATTGATTATATTATTAAAAATAATAAACTTTAATATTATAATTAATAGTGTAATTAATTAAATAATAATTATTATTATCATCATTATCATTATTATTATTATAGAACGAAAATGACACAAATACCCTTAATTATTATTTTTGAAAAATGAAAAATAAAGACAAAATGGACATTGCACCATTTGGTGCAAAATGGTGCAACATGAATAGTGTTGCACCATATTTGGTGCAACACTACTCATTACACCATTTTTTGCACCAAATCTTGGTGCAATGGTGCAATGGTTGGAGGAAGTTTACACGAAATTTTACCAATGGTGCAATTTGGTGCCGATGCAATGGTTGGAGATGCCTTTAGTGTAATTCACTCCAAGTAATTCTATCAATAATGTAGCAATAAATTTTGCAAAAATAAAAATAATAAAATGGCCCCCCAAGTATTAGGTAATATCATAACACAATTAGCTATGTTTTGCACATAGGATAAAAATCAATCTAATATGGTATTTGGTGTTAATAATACCCGACTTATTTTGAAACCGTATCCATCTTGTAATTGTTACTTGTAATTGAAGTGAGGAATAATACAAAAACACATGGTAGAAATTTACCTGTAAGTAAAAAGTGCCAAAAGTTTACTTAAAATAATAAATTTACTTAGATGCCAAAAAAAAAAAATCTTATAAGATCAAAATTAATTTATACGTAAAATTATTTATAACTAAAAAACCATACTCAAACATAAAAATTCACTTATAACTCAAAAAAAAAAAAAAAAAATTACTAATAAGTAATATATAACTTATAAGAAATATTCATTTATTTAAAAAATCATTTATAAGTGAAAAAAATACTGCATGATTGTTTTGAAGGGATTTTTTGAAAATCATTTTATACCACTCATTTTCAGTGACACATTTGTCAAAAAAAAAAAGAAAATAAATAAATAAATAAATTATTTTTTCACATTTTTTTTCATAAGTTTCCCTTTTAGTTTTCAGTAACAGATTTTCTAAAAATTTCTTTTCAAAAAATCACTTTTATAGAAACACTATGTTTAACTAAAAAAGTAAACTTATATAAGTTAAAAAAATATACTTTTAAGAAAAATCACTTATAAGATCAATTCTATTTTATGTAAAAAATTGCTTACAAGTAAAAACGTTACTTTAAAACAACCAAAAAGGGAAAAAAAAATCACTTATAAGTATAAAAATCACTTATAAGTAAAACAATCACTTATATGCAAGAAAATTAATTATAAGTAAAAAAAATTCTTATAAATATAAAAAGTTATAGTTAAAAATAAAATCACTTACTTGTCGAAAAATACATACAAGTTATTAAAAAAAAAAAAAGAAAAAAAAAACTGACTAATAAGTTAAAGAATTTATTTAGTTAAAAATTCACCTATATATAAAAAATTATTTATGAGTAAAAAATTGTGTACAAGTAAATTAGAAGTAAAAAGTAAAAAATCTTAGAAGTAGATATATTGTCAAAATTGTCTTTATTACTTATATGAACTTCTCATACAATATAACACCAAATACCATATTAGGACAATGGCTTCCCGACCCACTCTAATCCTACTCCCTAAATCTAATCTAATACATACTGTACTAAATGTGTCTAATACAGTGTACTACAAGTGTCTTTATAAACTATTGTTAATATAATTTAATTTTCTTTTTGTTTGATATTTTTAACAGACCATGCTACACAAATATAATAGTTGACATGGAGAATGATCGAACACTCACACCTCGGAGGTCGGACATTATTTTATTCACGCGGGATCCAAGCTTCATGTGAGGGTCGATCACCCATTTGGTCACCAAAATTCGGTCACTTCGGCATTTTCCATTTTTAACTAAATCAGAATCACAAAGGAATTGTTATTGCAGCCTTTGCTAAACAGGTCGGAAGACGCAGAGGCCATAGCACTTCAGGAGGGCCTTTTATTTGCACAAAGGAACAACCGGATTCTCTTAGATATAGTAGCTCTTTTACAGGAGGATGGCCGTAATTCTTAAAGCTTTGCTCCCCATAACAAGAACAAAGTAAACCACAATCTAACTTCCTTTTCTATTGATTCTCCGATTAGACAAAAATGGGTCGATTCTAATTCTTTGGACATTGCACCAATTGTGTGCGATGATATTTTGGTAAGTTTCTGTCCCCCCATCCCGACGAAAAAATCAAAACCATTAAATACTGTATAATCTGCTACTGATGTATTTGAAAGCAAAGTGATACGAGAAATTGTATTTGTAGAGACATTCTGTGGCAGAATAAATAGCTTCTAGAAGGTAGATACAGATCATATTAAAGTTTCTCGAGTTTCTATACAGCCAGCATTTTCTTTACATTCGTATATTGTTGGTGACACGGAACAACTGACAAAATCTTCTTGCTCATTAAAGGAGTTATCTCCCATGCTTTCATCAGAAGAAACAATGTCTTCATTAATGTCGTCATCCTCGATATCAGATAGCTCTTGCTCGGTAAAATCAGCTTCCATCTCTGAAAGAACTTCAGAACCCTTTCCTGTCCTTGAAGAAGTAGTCTTGTTAACAAGTTCAACCTTCTTTGACTCATGTTTGACCTTTGGATGATCGAGGATTGATTTCGGATCCCTATTGTTTGGATCACCATAAAGAGCAACATGTCTGTAATATAGTTCAAGTTCCTTTTCTGCAATTGCAATGAAGCGCATCATTTCCAATACAACTGAGATCTAAAACGGATATATCAAACAAAAAGCCCAAATCTTAATCGTCAAAGATGAAAGTTGCAACAAGAGAACTGTGATATCCTTTAATAAATGTAACAGTAAATATTCTGTGCCAGAAGCAACTGTTTGAAAATGCAAAATATATTACTTTTTCTATTATTAGTGTGTGCTTCCAAGAAATCCAAGGGAAAGATTCTTGTAGATCATTTTGTCATAACTATTATTCTTTTCTAGAGCAATTATTAAACCAGTGTCTCTTATTCCTAGTAAATAAATCCTTCTAACAAAACACTATCTTAAGAAACCCAACATATAATCATTCAAAAGCAGACAGTATAGAAATCGAAAAGGGGTTAAATAAACGGTATCACCACCTAACTTTGAGACACAGATACAGGTTTTGTAAAGGTTCCAAGCATGCAGCCAACTGATGGAACATGCAGTTGAATAGGATTTTGCTTTAATAGGATATTGTTATTTCTTCTTTTGTGCTGTAACAACAGGAGGGAGAATGAATTTGAAGTTTCAACATGACAAACTCAACACATGAATGCTCATGTCAAAATGTCAACAAAACTGATGAAACCCTTTTGATGAATTTTCTTAACTCTTACAAGCTTAGGAAGTTGCCAAGGCATCATCACGTGACAAAATAAACAAGTCTCGAATATAACATATATTGGCATGTGTAAGAAGCAAGACGTGTGGCTGATAATCTTCCCCATGACAGCATTAACAAGTGTGCAATTAATTTGCTCACACAAAGAAGCATCACGAAGCTTGAGCATGCAGGAGAAACTTACCCGTTTCTTAGACAATGTATCAACTGGTGACATAACCTCTGGCTGCACATAGTTCTTTCCTCGATAGAAGATTATGGTGTCATCTCCAATTATATGGATTGGGATTCCACCGCTCAGCCTAGCAATCTCATTTGCATATTCATGTACTTGACCAGGTTTGCAAGGCTTGCAGATGACCTTGACAGTTTCGTGTTTCTTCCAATGCAGATGCATATTGAGAATAACACCTCCGAAGATTCCTCTTCTGCCAACAGGTACATAATTAGACCGTTTCTGGGCCATTTTCTTCATATAAAATCGTTCTTCACCGGATAACTTGTAGGGCTCTACCACAGGACCCTGAGCCTGGGGAACTTCATACCTCTTCAGCCTTTCAATTAGTAAGGTTTCCTTAGTTTTTGCCTGAAAATTGACAAAACCTTATAATCTGGAATCATCATTGATAAGTTGGTTATTCAGTAAAGCTTTCGGATATTTGAAAACATCACAGATGAAAGCATGCTAATGTAGGATTGCATAGATTTCCTGAACACGGACATGATTTTGTCCCCCATAAAAACATTAGCTATATGGTTAGCACCAGTGATTTAGAGCCTCGCAGTTGAAATAGAAAACATTGAACTTCTGTTCAGTTTAAGACTTCGTCTCTTTAAAAGCTTGAAGGCCTCCAAAAGTATGAATGTCAAACCAAACCAGTTTTCTGGAAAAGCAATAGAACTAATCAAGTATTCCAGTCAATGAAGATGCTGCTTCTAGTTTCGTTTATTTAGTTCTGTAAAGCTAGTGGTACCTTTTTGGGCCAGATTTGAACTCCCAACATTGAATAAACAAAAGGTCATCACAAGGTAAATAAAAACAAATTGTATTTAAAAAATCTGAAACCAAAATACCACCATCTCAACCAAACTCCAAATTCCAATAATGAACTCTCTTATCCATACGAATAAACGTTTAGCGTTAAGTCCAAGAGAAATGCAAAAGGTCATAAAATGACAAACAATAACATCAGAAAGCACATTAAGTCTTAGCAACTATATGTGTACAAAAAAAGAATTAGCCGAGTTCTATCCCAATTAACTTAGGTTCAACAGATAAATCTTTTCGCTACTCCTTTTGATACAACGCTAAATCTATTGAAAAGTTGAATGCAATTTGTTATCAGTAACCAAATCATGTCATGTTAAATTGGTATCTCTGTCTCTGTCTCTCCCCTTTTAGATGGTTATACTCTATAACCGCATTCCTCTTGCAAATATGAGCTTCTTATACAAGACTTGACTCACCATCTAAGTCATTCTCTACTTCTCTTAATTCACTTCCAATTAATTTCACTCCACTTATTGAAGCATATGCTTATTTCCTACTTTATCCATTCCAACATGGCCACACATCCACGTCAACATCTTAATTTCTGCTACATACCACCTTATGAACATTTTTCTTTTTAGCAGTCCAACACTCAGTATGTATATCATTACTAGTCTTATAATCGTTATATACATATTAATATCTTCTTATCGTATGAAGTCCATGTAAAACTTCTTCATCCTCGTCCTGTGCACAATATCCAAATCTTTTTTCCCTCATCAATAATCACATTTGAATACCTGTAACAATGGATCTCTAGAACAATGACAACCATCATCTGTACTGCTATTAGTAAAAGAATATAATTTATATTCATCTTATTTTCAATTTAACATCAAAACTTAAGATTTCGAAGTGTTCCTTTAAAATTCTGTCCTACAACTTATCTTCCACCTAATTTCCTCAATTAAAACATTGTCATCAACGAATGTCATACGCTAAGGGTTCTCGTACGAGATATGTCTCATAAACAGGGACTTAGAGCATAACATGATTGCAAGCATACAACAACAAACATATGAGACTTTAGGGTATACTCTATCCAGCTTGTACTTGATCCTTTCCTCTGCATTAGCAAACCTCTGCCTCTTCTTCTTGCCTTTGATTCCAAGCCTTCTTGGGTCTCGCTTATTAGCATCTTTTCTCTTCTGTTTCTCTCTCTTCCTCTGTAGCTTCAGCCTTTTCTTTGTTTTCCATTTCTCCTTCTTTGGAGGTTCTGTTTCATGAGTCTCAAACTTGGGTTTTCCTTGAGGTGATATTACCAAACTCACGGACCCGTGACTCAAGCTTCTCTTCTGTAATAAAAACATCACACACCAAGGATTTTGTGGGTTCTGGGGAAAATGTAATAAAGACCTTGAAAGCGCAACCGTGGGTACTGGGATTTGGAGAATTGGCCTGGAAATTGAAGAACACAACAAAAGAAGTGCGAAAATAAAATGGAATGTGGTAGTACTTTTTGCTTTAAAGTTAGCACCTTAAAGCATTTGCTAGATAATATACAAACAAAAATGCAATCGCACGCAGAGAGACGAAGAGAGCTACCTGAAAGAAAGAGGAGGGCTGAGAAGAGAAGACACAGAGAGTCTACGGAGACTGCGGAGCAATGAGTTGGCCATTTGCTGTACCTTCTACATCTAGCAAACTTAATTCGATGATTACGCTATCGTTAGTCCAAACTGATCGCCCATATTTATACTGCTACATGGTTTGTTATTGTAATTTTCTTCTGAAAACACAACTCCAATCTCCCTATACAGAGTGGTGTGTGTGTTGGAGACGAGAGTGGTGGCGATGGGGAACGGTGATGGTGGAGGGAAGAGAGTAGAAGGGCTGATGGACGGTGGCGGGTAGTGTGGTGAAAAGGAGTGAAGGATGAGGCAGCGGCGGCAGGCCGGAATGAAAGTGGCCGTGGAAAGGACGTCTTGGGCCTTAAAATTGAAAAATGTTTTAGGGCCCATTTTTTATTTTACGAATTTTATGAAAGTAACGTGGCTTTTTTAAAAGAGTAATGCTACATTGATAGAATTTTTTTTTATAGATATTTTACAGAATGCTCAAAGCAATGGGATCCATTACAATAAAATATTCACATGGAATCCATCTCCATATGTCTAATCTGTAGAAGATCTATACAAAACTCCCTGTACACAAGCTATTTTCCTTCTTAAAATCACTTCATGAATGGAAAATTCTTTTAAAAAATTAATTTTTAAATAAAAATCAAGACGATTTCAAATTTTTCTACACGAAACAAAATAAAAAATATTAGTTGACGGGCATTTAAGTCATTCATTTGAAATTGGTAAAATCTATTGGTTGATAAATTATCTAGGCATGGTAAATAAGTGATAAAAAGGTGATTTTTTTTTTAAGAAATATATAATTAAAAATGAATATAAAAATTAAAAAAAAAAACAAAAAAAAAACGTGATTTTCAAAAAATCACTCCAACATGAGCATTAACAGTTTTATCAAATGCTGAGACAAGTTTGAGCAAATTCTTTTATAGAACGTGTTTGGGAGTGATTTTTCATTTTTAGTGATTATAGTTTAAAATATGTGACTCAATGTGGGTATAAGAGAATGTGTGGAAAATAATTAAATAGTAATCTTGGTTCATGTCAAATGTGTAGTTACCAGCTCAATTTTGTTCTAGGTTTACTTCATTCCTTGTCGAACTCAGGGGTATTGGACATAGTAATTAAAGCCAAAATGAATCTTTTTAAGCCACATCAGATTTTCTTTCATCTACATCTAATTTTCCTTTTATTCTTCTATTTTGAAAATATTATTAGTAACTTATAAGGAGGAATAGTAGTACGTCTCATAAAATATATAGATAATAAATGAATGGTAATTATGAATGTATAGTGAAAATCTATATTTGAAGTTAATTGAAAATTATAAGGTCCTGTTTGTTTCCCTTTTTTTATCATAAAAATGAAAAATATGACCGTTATACATCACATCAAACCACCATATTTGACTTTTCCTCTTTTGTATGGATCCCATAACGATTATATTTTTCATATAAGAATGAGACTAATAATTTTATCAAAACAGAATCTATATTTCTAGGCTTTTCCTTGCGAGGAAGAAGTCAAAGGTGGACAAGAAACAAGAAAGACAATGACATTCATCTTCGTAAAAATATTAAATTACATACTTTAGTTTTTGGATTAAATTTTGAGTGGTTTTAAAATAAGAATGACAAGATTAATGATAAGTAAAAGAAAATAACCAAAGAGTAAAAAGGCTAAAATAGTTATTATTTGGTCAAGATTGAAGCCAAGTAACCTCAGCTACAAAGCTAGCCTAACTTTTGTCACTTCGGTTGAATACCATGAAATTGTGTTGCTTCTTGGAATGTTGAGAACAGTTGTGCTACAATGACATCACAATTTATAGATTGGTGTACATACACATGATGTGATGAAATATGATTTGATCAAAACTTCATCAAGGAGAAAACCTTCTCTCTCTTTTTAACACATCATCTATCTGTAAAACTTTCTGTAACTCCTTATGTAAAAGTAGAATTATTCTACTAAGAAATCAAGTTAAGTCCAAGTAAAATACTGTAACCCGAGGTGGATTATCGATCAACAATATCCAGTCAAAGAAAGATCTGAAGGGCCAGTTTGTCAAAGGCACGAGCCATAGTCGAATGCTCCAGCTAGACACCTCAAAATGCGTTCGGTTGCCTTCCAATGAACTTCGAGGGGTTACTGCATGAACTGATAAGCTCTATTAACACTATAAGCTAGCTCAGGACGTGTTATCGTAACATATTGCAAGGTCCCATCCACACTCCTACAAGGCTGAGAGTCGTGCACTAGATCGCTTCCATAAAGAGCAAGTTTCTGGTCCGGTGATGATGGGAGATCTAACACGCCAGGCAATTTATTTCTTGACCTTACAAAGAAGATGGGTGATCCATTTCATTTCGGATAGATGAAGCCCCTCTGCTGTATACTCAAATTCCCAAGAAAAATGTAAATATACCAAGGTCCTTTAGTGCAAATCTGTGATTGAGTTTGGTAATAAATCTTGTATAAACAACTTGTTGCATCCAGTAACTAGGATATCATCAACATAGACGAAAATAAATGTGGAACCAGATGGTGTGATATGCACAAACATTGGATGAACAGACTTGGCTGAGAGATCCAAATTTCATCAAAACATGACACAACTTCTCAAACAAAACACATGTGGTGTGGCTTGTCTGAGGCCATACAAAGAGTTAGGAAACTTCGAATACTAACTCAGGAGCTGAGGTATCTAGCAAACCAGCTGGTTGCTGCCAATATTCTTCTTCCTCTAAACTACCCGATGGAGAATTAGAAGGGATATTATTGTAAGTTTCCAGATTTAAATGCATATTTTAGAAAATGTTACTATAGTTTGATTTATTACCTTTTGCAAAATTTTCTTCCTTAGTATACGCCTTTTGAAACCCTGTATAAAGGGATGTTATGCTATGTAATTGATAACCTTGAATGAATAAAACTTGATATCGTTCTTCTCCAATTTCTCTACTCTCTTTCTTGTCTCTCTCATTTCTCATCTTTTCTCCCCTTTCGCCTTCTTCTACAATTGTTCTATAACATCCGACGTCAATTTGACATCAGAGAAGAATTGATGCCGGATTTATACAAGAATTATAAGAGAAGGAAGGGATGGCAATAAGGCAGGTTTGGGTCGGAGCTGGGGACGGGCAATTTCCCTCTCCATACTCGCCCCATTACCCGTTCAAGGCGGGGCGGGTCAGAGCCCTTGACCCATTTACGTACACATT